ATATGAAGTAATGGTCTTCTTCTTTTTTTTTTTTTTTTTTTTTTTTTTTCTTTTCTTTTTTTTTTTTTTAATGAGCATATGTTATTTTCTTTGTACCTTGAAATGTGTGAAGGTGTCCAGGCTTCTTTGTGACAAGCTGATTTTCCCTCAGATACCCCAATTCTCTAATTAATAATATGCCTTTTAAACAAGAAGGTCTGTTTATTGTCATTGATTTTGTTCATTGAGTGAAGTCAAACATGTGAGTGCAACTGTTTACAAAAGTGTGACGCAGCGCTCTGAGTTTCCTAACCCACTCCTAATAAGAAAAGAACCCTAAAAACAGAAAGCTTTTATAACAATTCAGAAAGGATTATGTACTGATCAAAGTCAGAGCAGAAGCTCCACTGAAATTTGTGGGAAGATTGCAGAGGCTGCAGAATACATGGGCCAGGCCTAACAGCAAAGAAAATTAATTCGTAAACCCTTGAGTCTTTCTCAAAAATACTGCCTCACGTTCCCATTAGTATTTTGCAGATGATCCATACTTAATCCTAGTGTGGTGTGAACCAAGAGCTTGCAGAGCTGGAATGACATGTACCTGTTGAGGTAGCTGTTGGTGTACAGCACAGTAGGAGACTGTCTCATGTTGTCAAACAGCAGCTTTAGTCTGCCGGTGTTCCCTGGGTGGGTCTTTTGGGAGAGGGAGGCTGGAAGAGTCCTGGAGCATAAGGGACTTTTCTTTGTGTGCTCCATTTTCTTTGCAGTGGGTTTGCAGCGTGAGTAAAACAGCAACATTTATTATTATTATTATTTATTTCCTGGAGCTACTTAGGATTTCACAGCAATGTAATCCTGTAAAACATTAGATGCAGTTGCTCATTTCAAAATGTTTCCTATTCCATTATACCACTAGATCAGAAAATGTCCTCTGAAAACAGTGGAATTATTCTCATTTTATTCTGTGAGAAGATAATTAAAGAGACAGGAATGCAATAAAATGTAGCAGTAATGAAATATAACAGATGACAGAAGTGTTTCAATCTTTCCATGCTTACAATAAAGACAGATGATGTAATCCTGGTTGCCTGTAGGCTTATGGTCTGGGTGTAGAGCTGTCCAGCTCTGGGGAGCTGCCTAGAAGTGCAACTTGCTATGGTTAGCTTCAAGAAAACCCCATGTTCCATTTTATTCAGTTATACTTCGAGATACAGAGAAGTGGAGAGGCACTCCAAAGGAAAGAAAGGAGATTCTGCTGGATCATAGCTGCAGTTCAAAGCTCACTAGAATAGGTCTGAATTATCTCTGAAACTTCTTTGGAAGGGAGAGGACTTTGTAAAGACTGAGCAGAAGGATGTAGTCTTTGCTATTCTCTGTTGCTGTACCTTGTGAAGGTGTGTCTCCCCAGGTAAGCTGAGACAACTTTTTTTCTGCATATCCTCTTGAAGAGGTTAGCAGGATAGTCTAGAAAAAGAAAAAAAAAAAAAAAAGAAACAACCAACATCAAGAATCACTAAAATCACTAATATGACATGCAAAGAATGATAGAAAGTATCAACAATTCCTGTTAAGCAGCGCAAATGATAAAAATCTTCAGAGAGTAAAGTCTAAATAACATTGAACATTTGATGCTGTCCTGTTTCAGCTGAGATGGAGTTAATTTTTTCCATGGAGGCTGGTATGGTGTTGTGTTCTGGATTTAGGAGAAGAATAATGTTAGTAATACATTGATTTTTTTAGTTGTTGCAGAGCAGCACTCACACAGAGCCAAGGACTGTTCAGCTCCTGGTGCTGCCCTGCCAGCAAGGTACCTGGGGGTGCACAAGGAGCTGGGAGGGGACACAGCCAGGAGCTGGCCAAAGGGATGTCCTATGAGTAGGACATGAGTAGTATGATGTCCTACTCATAGGACATCCCTTTTTCCCTAACCGTAGGGAACAATAAAACTGGGAGGGCTGGTTGGGGGGCAGCCAGTGCTGTGGGACTATCTGGCAATCACTCAGCAGGTAGTAAGCAATCACATTATGCATCACTTACTTTGTATATTCTTTATTATTATTATTATCATCATCATCATCATTATCATTATCATTATCATTATTATTATCATCATCATCCCTTCCTTTTCTTTCCTGTTAAACTATTTCTATCTCAACCCATGAGTTTTACCTTTTCTTTTCCAGTTCCCCATCCAACTGTGGCTGTGTAGTACTTAGCTTTCTGCTGGGTTAAACTGCAACAGACACTTTTAGGAAACTGAGCAGTTCCTTCGTAGATGTTTCTCAACATGCTGTAGAAACCCTCAACCCTGTTGAGGCAGGGGCTCAGCTCACTTGGGCAGAGAACAGGCTATTATTAGTTAGGCATTTTACAGAACTGCCCTTGTCTTTCACTGATTCTCAGGCAGAAGTCTCAAAATGTGTTATAGGGAGGTCGATATCATTGTTCCTGCTGTGCTGAAAGCATAAATAAGCACTCAGACTTGATAATTTGCCTGGGGTTACCCAGAGGCAGAGCAGAGGACTCTGGAGTGTCCGCTTACTGTGTTAGTCACTTGATCAGTGTTCCCGGGGAAGAAGCCACTCGGGGATGGTTGGCACAATATATTCACACAGATAGAGAACACATCAAAGAGTTTAACACCTAAAATTGACAAAAGAGAAGCAGGAGCACAGAGGGGTGCACTAGTCTCACAGCAGGTTGTGAGGAGAAGCACGGCTCCAAGCCAGGTGGCTTGCCTTGCTGATGGGTCAGGCAAACCAGGGGCCGTGGTCACACTCTTACCTCCTGAACTGACATCCTCTTTTCACCTGGAGGTGGAAAAGAGAAGTGATAATATGAGGTACATTTATTTTGTACACCGGTGATGTTCTAGACATAAATAAAAAAGAAAAACTCTCTGGAAAGGGTCAAAAAGTAAGAAGAAAATATAGAAATCTAGATAATGTAGGAATATTATGTATTTCACATTTAGCAATTTGCACTTCAGAGTTAAAACAATTTCGTGTGTCCTTTGACAGCATGAGGCTGTATGCATGAAGAAAGCATCTATTTCCCTTATGTGTTAAGAAGGGAGCCATATGTTTTAAAAATTAAAAAGAACAATTAGTCTTGGAGCAGTAAAATCTGCCCAGCTAGGTAGCTGATCAGCTTCCTCCCAGAGATTGCTCTCCCAGAACAAAGTTTAGGAAGTAAGGCTTAGAAATGTAGATATTAGTAGGTATGTGGGAATATAAATTTGGGAAATTTACAATTTTAATTTCTTTTATTTTCTTGTATTTGCTGAGTTCCATGGCTGACATCAGAAGTTGCATGTGCTGGGTTGCTGGCAGGATGGGATATGCTTCAATGGAAGCAGAGACACGGGGACAGGATAGGCTTGTCCTCATATTGTCAGTAGGATCTGCAATAACAGCATATTACTTGATGTAGTAAATTCCTAATAGAAACAGGAGCTTCCCTACTTCTCCCCCAAACACAGAAGGTCCCATGCAGGAGTAGCTGTCAACACAGCAGGAGCTTCCAGACCTCTGGATGCTTAAATCACATTGCTATTACAGACACCTCTGGGTTCTCTGCCTGAGGATTTCCTATTTTGCTTAGAGGGATAATGGATGGAAGGCGGATTAAATGTTGAATCATGTGAAGATGAGAAAATGCCTGCATGAAGCATGAAAGTGTGACTGGAGGACACCTTTTTGTTTCAGGAGGGATTTTGTGGAATATAAAAATACAGAATTAAGACGTTATGGTGCCTAACACTTATGAGAATTCTTTGCTTAGATGCACGAAGTGTGTTTGTTGCATCTGTTTTGACTCTGAGGTCCTTGGGTTAAAGACTGTATTTTTTTAGGTCACCTAGTTCAGTACTGCCCTGCTCTTTGTGTACTCCTGAAATGAAAACATTAACAGTGAATATGGTTCATGGCCAAGATTATGGGAGGCTGTGTTTACAAAGATGGCTACTTTACCCTATTTAATTCTTTTCTGCTTAAGCAAAATATGTTTATCTTATTTATTTATTTATTTATAATTCTTTTATCCGGTGAAAAAATAGTGCCATAACTGACAGATTCTCTTGTGTGACCTGAGTAAGTTGATAAAAATCAGAATGTGTGTAGCCCCAAACTTGAAATATATCATTACAGTTGAGTTTCATTGTGCATTTCCATCTGATATTGAACTGGTGCTGAACTGCTGTCTTGGTGCAAATGGTAACAAGCAAGGACCTCATTCATTATCAATCACTGGACATCATTCAAAAGATGGGATGCCTTGCCATTTAGCAGGCAAATGCAAAATCTGTAAAACAGTGCAATGGACCCCTTGATCTTTTCTGGTGCTCCTTTCTTACTATTCCTTCTTCTGATCTGCAAATACAAATTATACAGATCTGTGTCAGCAAGAAATCTGCAAACTCTAACAGAATATCACCCTTCAAGTACTCTGCATATAAAAGAAGACAAATAGAAATAGGAGCACTGATGCACCTTTTCCATGCCATTCATTATTTTATAGAATTCTTTCTCATGTCTGTTCTTATTTTACTACTGAATGGCATGGCCACATTTGAATTAGTACCTGTTTGCTGAAAAAGAACTACTTCACTATTTAACTGGTTTGCTTTCAGATGGTTGTATCTTCCTTTTCATTTTATAGTTTTAGAATTTGTATCTAATTAACAGAGAAGAAGCTATTCTGGAATTTGGATTTAAGACGAGGTACATTCTAGGAGCAAAACTTAGAAACAGTATTTCTGAGAAATACATGTCATTGTGATTGCTTTCATATTTAATTGGGCTGGAATGGAGTCTGACATCTGATTTGGGAATATTTTTGTGTGAGTATAGGATATTTTATGACTCACTTTAGTGGGTAGACTATGTGAGTCTCATTACTTGAATAGGTGTTATAAGAGTCGATCATTTTATCTGAAGAGTAAATAGGGGAAAGGTAGAATGGAGATCCACCTATAAACCGATTTTTACTTTTCTAAACTATTTTTATTTTTATTTTTTTAGGTGATGGAAATTAAAGGACAAATGATTCATGTGCCAGAATCAAATTCAATTTTGTTTCTGGGATCCCCCTGTGTGGACAAGCTGGATGAACTGATGGGCCGAGGCCTCCACCTTTCAGACATTCCTATCCATGATGCTACTCGCGATGTCATACTGGTTGGGGAGCAAGCGAAGGCCCAAGATGGCTTGAAAAAACGAATGGATAAGCTGAAGGCAACACTAGAATGCACACACAAAGCCCTGGAAGAGGAGAAAAAGAAAACAGTAGATCTCCTTATATCTATTTTCCCTGAAGAAGTGGCTCAGCAATTGTGGCAGGGGCAGCAGGTTCAGGCCAGGAAATTTGATGATGTCACCATGCTCTTTTCAGACATTGTTGGCTTCACTGCCATCTGCGCACAGTGCACACCCATGCAGGTCATCAGCATGCTGAATGAACTCTACACACGGTTTGACCATCAGTGTGGATTCCTGGACATCTACAAGGTAACAGCTCAAGCTCTAAGTTAGAAAAATCTAATTGAAATTGAGATAGAAAAAACTTACCAGTAGCCACCTTCTTAAATTACAGACTTTGCCTATAAAAATGGGAAAGGCAATTTTTTTTTCACAGGAAAAAATAAATTTGAAATATATCCACTGAAGATCAAATACTTTGATAATGAGAAGTCATTGTGGTTCTCCCATAGGAATATATGCCATATTGCTGTTTTCTTACAGGGACATACACCTCCTGTGTTATAGTCCGGTTATATAGTCTGGTTTCCTTTAAGTGACACATTGGTCATAGTGTACTAAGGGTGATGAAGTCCATAGTGATGATCGTAGCCCAAAATGCATCTCCTGGAAGGCACTCAAATATTTTCTGTTTCAGTGGAAACCTGAATGTTTTCAGTTTCAGACACTTATATTTTCGATAAATTAATTCTATTAATTTATTTTTATTAATTTATTATTAATTTATGATTTTCCATAAATTAGAAATTTTCATAAAGAACAAGGCATTCACTTAAAAAGAGGGTAATAAAGGATTTAAACTTCCACTGAAAACAAGGAAGAAGACAGCTGTTTTCCATTTTAGTGATTTTACCATGCATGGCAGTTGAACACCACCACAAATCTCATTCCATGTCCTAAAAGAAAACGGAGGAGAAAATATGAGGGAAAGGGCTCAAGGGCTGAGATAGAGACAGGAAGATCACTCAACAGTTACCATCATGGGCAAAACACACTCAACATAGGGAGATTAGTATAATTTATTGCATCTGACCAGCAGACTAGAGCAGTGAGAAACAAAAAACTAAAAACACCTTCACCCCTGCTCAGAAGCCAAATGACATACTAGAAGAGGGCTACAACAGAAGGTAGTGACCATCATTTGAAAATGTTTGTGGTGTTATAGCTGGAAAAGATTGGAAGTTTGATCTTGGTTTGTATTAATCTACTGTTAAAGCACTGGTTCTCAAGCCAATTCTGAGAATGTGACTTGAGAGACTTCTGACCCACAGCTGTGCGCCATATCTAGTGACCCTGTTTCACATGCTGTATCTGGTACATGGGTGTAGTTAGTGTTTTCCCAGATGATTTATTTTAGATAACTGTTTTGAGGCATTCAGGACATTTTTTGTTAAAAACTGCAGTTGCGTAGCAGTAGGAAGTAAAGTATCCCATACTCTCTGACCTGTTTGGAAGGAAGGTTGGCTGAGTCCTGTGAGAACACTATGCAGGATGAATCCAGGCTGACTCCGCTGTCCCTGGGGGTGTTTAAGGAAAGGTTGGACGTAGTGTTTAAGGACATAGTTTAGCGGGTAATATTGCTGGTAGGGGGATGGTTGGACCAGATGATCTTGGAGGTCTTTTCCAGCCTTAATGATTCTATGATTCTAAGGAATATTTTTACATAACTCACAAATATTATGTCATTTAGACCATGTATTACTGCCCTTCACCTAGCTTTGCGCCGCTTTGTATGAAAGATGTTACTGCACAGCAATATTGTCCTGACCAGTGAAATAATATGATGGTTGCTCAGATAGGCAAAGTAAGATTTGTGCATCCTGAAAAGGTACAAGTACTCCAAAGAAAATTACCCGCCCCCCCCCCCCCCCCCCCCCCCGTAATTTTATGAGCAGAGTAATAAACAAAGTCTATTTTTCTGTGGAAGGGTATCTAACACCTTTTCCCCACTGTTACTGCCTTAATGGAGCTAGTTCTTCCTCAGATCACTTCATCCCAGGTTTTTGTTCATCTCCCTACTCTCCCCTGAGCATCCCTAAAGCCCCACCACCACTGAATTTGCTCCACAGCCCCCCTCCCACTGAGCAGGATGATGTGTGCTGTGGTTACTTGGAGCTGTGTGTGCCTACCCTGCTTGCTGATCGCTGAGCCCAGAGTGCCAACGAGATCGTGTTGCTGCCGGGCTCACACGACAGTCAGTTCCACTGCTGGGGACACTGTTCTGAATCTCCTACATCCATCCAGTCATGGATCTCCCAACCTGTGAGAACTCGGTCTTTGAAATCTCTACTTTTTGTTGTTGTTGTTGTTGTTGTTGTTGTTCTTCTTCTTTGTTTTTTTTTTTTTTTTTTTTTTTTTTGTCCCTTTTTCCTTATAACTAGGAGTCTAAGAAAGTTACTGTGAGGTTAGGTGAAAATGACTCAGTTAAGCATTACAGAAAGACAGAAAACCCAGGCATCGAACCCTCCGAACCCTCTCTTATTTCCTTAGAGAAACAGGCTTAAAATAAAATGACAATTCCTTTTGAAAAAGCATTTGCATTTTTAAATAAAAATAGCTCATGTGTTTACATTTTTCATTTGTTTCAGATGATATTCTGGAAGCTTATTTTATTAATAAGTATGATCAACACCACAACTATAATTTTAGAAGTTATTGTCAAGCAGTGAATTTTAGATATGTAATCACCAGTGTTTGTACCTGCAGCCTGCCTCTAAGATATTGTCCTGTAACTAGGCTACAGAAATTCATCTTGTGACCTATATTATATATACATCAAAACACAACAATTTTCAAATTTGCTTGTGTTGAAGCAACATGGAAAGAATAATTTGCAAAGATTATTTGGAGAGTACTTTTGAATACCAATTTTGTCATTTTGTAAACATAAAATTAAGCAAAATTCATTAAATAGATTTCATGCTGTAAATTATTCACCCAGCTTTACTGTTACAGCATTTCAAATTCAGAACCTCAGTGCTTCTAATTTTGGAGTCAGACAATGAATGTAATGAACCTAATACTTTTCAATTGTCTCACACTATTCATTCAGGAATATTTACAGAGAAGTATGACACGGAAAGAAGAACAAAGATGCCTGTATTTAACAAGTAGAACATGGAGGGCAAGCATAATGATCTGTTGGTTGAAGAATAAGAAATGTTTGTTGAGGGCTGAAGGGGGATGAATCAGACTTTGAAATACCTTGGAAATGAAAGTAAGTGGCTATAACTGATGACACAGGGAAAGGGTATCCAGTGGATGGAAGTGCAAGTATGAATGACACAGGAAAATGACGGGCTCTGAAAATAAACTTCACAGCAGAATTTTAAATGGATACTAGGGATGACAGATTACATTCCTACAGGCTGAAGGAGAACATCACAGTAATTGAGATGCATCATGATACAAGCCTGGGTGACAGTTCTAGCAATTTGGGTTTTAGAGAGTGAAACTTTAGAAAGAATCTGCTTACATATAGCTTTGATAAAAAGATGAATAGGGACACTCCTGGGGTAATCACAAAGGAGAGAGGATGCGAGAGAACTGAGACCTGGCAATGCCTTTGGGAACTGGTGCTGCTGACTATCTGAGCTAATCATGTTTGGCGTGGTACTGAGGAGTGGGAGAAAAGGATGCTGTCAAGCAGGGAGTGCAAATTATAGCAATGCAGTTGCAGATTTGAAGACCTGAGCTGCTTAGTAAGTCAGTGTCTGTGGACATGCAGGTAGAAACATGGGCTCCAGGAGAAAAAGTACTAAGAAAGATAAGATCTCAATACATTTTGAAAGCAATTGCTTTGGATAAAGTATATACTGGTTGACTTGACTGTATCTTTGTTTTGACCTGTTTTTCTTTGTATCTGAATTCCTGTCATTTGTGAGCCAAGAGCTGGGAAACGATGCCTCAGCTAAGCCACCTATTTATTAAAAAAGCTATTTAGATATGCTGCAGCCACGGCTAGCATTTAAAACTTATCCCTGCAGGCTGATATCTTCCATGTTCAAGCTTCCTGCAGCCTCTGTTTCTCTCTCTAAATAATGTCTTTGATATAGGCTCATTTTAGATACTTTTGTTGTTGAGTCTTTTTGCCTGCGTAGGCCTACTTTCTTAACTCTTTTCCCCTCTGTTACTTTCCTGAAACAAACCCATTCCTCTTCTTTGTCTTTTAACTACTGTGTACAGTAAAGACAGCATGTGTTGTGGCCATTTTTTTCGTCATACATTCATTGGCTGCTTGGCTGTGTATGTTGGCTGGGTTTCTTGGTCCTTTCTCTGGACAGTGCAACATTTGTTGTTGAAGACATTTCTCCAAGGTGGATTTTCTCCTAACCCTGAACTTCACTTTCTGCGAAATGATGAGTCCCACTTTTCATAACTGCGCAGTCTTAAATGTTTTGGGCAATGAACTATTGTCAGCTGACAAAATTTATTTGCTGTACATCTTCTGTTGTATAACTGATTCTGCTGCATTTTCAACCAGCAGAAATCAGTATTCATTTTTAGTTAAAACAAAACAAATTATAACAAAAAGGAAATTTAAGTACTTTCCTACTTCCTTAACTATCCTCCTTGGTGTAAGATATTTCTACACAATCACATATAAGTAATTAAGTTTATTGTTGGTGCTATAATGACTAAAGAATACTGTGATGACAGGAATTCATGAGCTTCAGACTGTTCTGAAGTTTTGCAAGCTTAATGTTCCACAAGTTAAAAAAAATACTTTTCAAGTTTTCATGTAAAATTTATGGCCACTACTTTTGTCTTCTTTCCATCACTTCCTCGGTTTTAACCTTGTGTGTTCAATGCAACTACCTATCTACTTTGAAAGGGATTCAAATTCTTTTAGCTTCAGCAGAAGCATCTACAGAATGAAGATTATATGAAATGCAATTAAAATGTATAAACTATACTGATACTCTTCTATGAGTGATAGTATATACAGAAAATATAATAATATGCCTATTTAAAGATAAATAGATGCAAGTTTGGGGATTACTGATGCAGCAAGTGTTGCTTCTTCTTGTTAATTTAAAGTCAGGCTAGATTGGATAATAGAAGAAAATCCCCATCATGCAGAAACTCTCTCTCTGTGGTGCCACCCATATGTGTAGAGCTGCCCTTTAGCAGACTGCTCTGTTCGGGTCCCACCACAGAGAACTTATGAACCTTCTTGCTTTCCTTGCTCTGAGTAGGCTATATCACTGACTTTCTCTAGCTATCTGCCTCTGCATGGACTTTGCTGT